CAACTGCACCCCAAAAAACCCCACAGAACCCCAAAGAGCCCCGCAGCATCCCAAAAAACCAAACAGCACCTCAAAGAACCCTAAAGCACCCCAAATAACCCAAAAGCACCCCAAAGAATCCTATAGCAGCCCAAAAAAACCCACAGCACCCCAAAGAGCCCTGCAGCACCCCAAAGAACCCCACAGCACCCCAAAAAAAACCCCACAGCACCCCAAAGAGTCCTGCAGCACCCCAAAGAGCCCTGCAGCACCCCAAAGAACATTGTGGGGTGTCCCTGACCCCGTGCCCCCCAGATTCCCAGTTCGGGATCACGCTGGGTGATTTTTAGGGGTGTCCCTGTCCCTTTGGGGGTGTCCCTGACCCCGTGCCCCCGTGCCCCCCAGATTCCCAGTTCAGGATCACGCTGGGTGATTTTTAGGGGTGTCCCTGTCCCTTTGGGGTGCCCCTGACCCCGTGCCCCCCAGATTACCAGTTTGGGATCACGCTGGGTGATTTTTAGGGGTGTCCCTGTCCCTTTGGGGGTGTCCCTGACCCCGTGCCCCCCAGATTCCCAGTTCGGGATCACACTGGGTGATTTTTAGGGGTGTCCCTGTCCCCCTCACCCTGGTGCCCCCCAGATTCCCAGTTTGGAATCAAGCTGGGTGATTTTTAGGGGTGTCCCTGTCCCTTTGGGGTGTCCCTGACCCCGTGCCCCCCAGATTCCCAGTTCGGGATCACGCTGGGTGTTCCTGTGGGGGTGTCCCTGTCCCTTTGGGGGTGTCCCTGTCCCCCTCACCCTGGTGCCCCCCAGATTCCCAGTTTGGAATCAAGCTGGGTGATTTTTAGGGGTGTCCCTGACCCCCTGACCCCGTGCCCCCCAGATTACCAGTTTGGGATCACGCTGGGTGATTTTTAGGGGTGTCCCTGACCCCCTGACCCCGTGCCCCCCAGATTACCAGTTCGGGATCAAGCTGCTGTCGGCGGCGCCGGGCGGCGAGCGCAAGGTGCTGATCGTGTTCAACGCCCCGAGCCCCCAGGACCGGCTGCGCTTCGCCAGCGACCTGCGCGAGTCGGTGGCCGAGGTGCAGGAGATGGAGAAGTACCGGGTGGAGGGTGAGCACCGGGGGCACTGGGAGCACTGGGAGGGCACTGGGAGCACTGGGAGGGCACTGGGAG